AATATTTAGATATTCTGCAAATACCTATTTAAGAATTCTTCTGGAAAAAAGGAACAAAATTAGAATGTTTAAATTTTTATAAAAAGAATTTAAATTTAATTTGTCATAAAATATTCACATAAAAAGTTTCATCGCGAAAGTTTTTAGTGTTGGCAAATTTTTATCATTTCCTTTGTTTTGATAAACGTTTCCAATTTTTCTTTTGAGCTCTTATGTGATTCATTTCTAATTCCTTTAGTTAATTGTTTTAAAACAAGAAATTTTAAATAATTTTTGAAATGTGAAGTCATTTGAAGTTTAACACAGAAAAAATATGCAATTCTTGATGACAAATGTGTTACTCATTTTCATTGTCTACAGTAGAAAATAAAATTGCGTTTTGTGAAAAATCTAATTTTTCCTTTTATCTTCTTCATTAAATGTCATTTGAAGTACATAACTAAATAAATTGCAACATTTTTCGAAGATATTTTATTCATGTAGCAAAGTTCAAGATGAGTACTTTCAAACGAAAAGTTGGCTTCAATAGTTACTTGAACCTTATCTAAGCTTGCAACGGGACACATCTGAAATTTCGTAGCACCTCGAAACATAACATTTCACAAGAGCTTTGTTTTGTTTTATTATTTTGTAATTATTTAAGTGAATTCATTATGCAATATCTCACTGATGTATTGAATGATGGAGCGAGAATGAAATAAAAAATCATTAAAGAGATTTAATCTTTAAAATTTCAATATCAAATTCTCTCGTGTTTAAATGTTTTCTAGTTTGAATCAAAGAAGTATGAGAGTAATAAATGATATCTGTTCATGATCAACATGCATAGCGTTGTTTAAACGCAGTCATGTTCTATTGTTAAACGAATGATGTTTATTTGATACTCGAAAAATAATGAAGAGAAAATGTGAATAAAAAGCGGATATTAAAAGATATTTTCATATTCTCAATTAGAATAAATTCGTTCCAAAATACCAGGATTGAAAATGGTTTCTTGATTCATAAGTGCATACCTATCTGAATGAATCATTTTGTTTCTTTATCTATTCTAAATTTTAAATGTTTGAGCCAAAAAAGCTTAGCTGTCATTTTTTTATGATATTTGAAAATAATCAAATGTAATCATTATTTAAAAAAGTTGTCTCTCTAATTTCAATGAAAATTGTCTCTTGAAACTAGTATATATAAAGCAGATTTGATCAACAGTATTCACTAAGTTTTTCGAATCTAAAACAGAAACAAGTTCAAGATGAAAGCTATTTTCTTTATTCTTTTGATCGCAGTTGTTTTCGTTGCAATGGAAGCATCTGCAGAACATCTCGTTGGAGATGAATCAATGAATCTTGTCTCGAATCATGGAATGATTGAAAGTAAGAAAATTCATTTAAGTTGTTTTTCATAAAGTAATATTTTATCTGTCGTAAATTAGAACGTGAAGCTTGCAATCGTGATAGTAGCAGTGAAGATGACGACGATGATGATGATGATGATGATAGTAGTGATGATTAACATCTTCAAAGATTTGTTAACGTTGAGGAAGTAACTATTGATGACCAAATGTTCCTATTATAATGTTGAATTTGAAATAAAAATATATTTAATTATCGCATCAAAAAAATTATCCTTTTAATTTTGCTACAACTTGTATCATATTTGAAGCATTAGGAAATATTATCTTTAAATACACAAATGATATAATATCAAGCCTTGGAGAGAAAAAAGGAATTCCGATTAAACATGATTATGACAATCGATAACGAAGAAGACAAAAACGATCAAAAGAACTGCAACAGCGATTTTCATGTTGAATGTTTTAGTTCGAATTTCGTTGCAAATAATAAAATGTGATTTGAAAAGTATCGCTATTTATATGGTTGACTTAACATAAAAACCATGAAAATATTCCAGACGTGACTTAATAAAAACAAGTTCGGTAAAAACTTTTTCAGAAATAATTAAACATAATTAATCAAGAGGCAAAAAATCACGAAGTAATGAATTCACAAAGCCCGTAGTAAATTAGAAAAACAAATTTTATGAATTACTGTTTTCATAAGCTTTTTTAAACTATTTATCTACTAACATAATATTTTACTGATAAATTGAACAATTTTAATACATTTGTAAGAGAACTTTTATGATAGACAAATCATGTAAATGTGCTTATAGCTAAGGATACATGAGCAAAAATCAATACTGCTGTTAAAGCAGATAATAAACCCATTTAACGTAAGTACTGAATATACTCAAAGTTTAAGTACGAATACGTATTTGCCATTTCAAAAAAAAACTTACTGCCTGTGACGGTAATTTACTGTCTTTTATATTTTTGAAAACTTAGAAAATTGAATCATTGCTTTTTCTTTAAAATATGGTAGCAAAAAGTGTCAAAATTTACATTTCTAATTGAATTTTCTTTGATTATTTCATAAAAAGTATTTTTGAAAAACAATCCGTTTGATAATTTGCAACCCATACATTAGGGTGGAAATCGGGGCTGTAGTTTAATGGTTAGAACGCTCACCTCCCAAGTGAGTAATGCGAGTTCGAATCCCGCCAGCTCCAAACATTTTGATTTTTTTTTTGAAACTTTTTTTTTATTGATTAATTATTTTATTTAGTTCCACATATAGAAAACTAATACGGAAGTCACGGCATTGCAGTTGTGTAGAAAATTCGACTCAACACTTGAAAGTCATAAGTTTGGCTCTGGACTGCGCAGACCTTGGGTATATTTAATAAATCTCTCTACCAATTATGAAAAATTTAAAATTCTCTGATTTTTTTGTTAAATGAAAGAGTAAAAATATTTGATTGCAAATAATAACTTTAATATATTTATTTCATTTCCAAAATTCCATTAGCAACATTCATATACCTTTGTAATACCATAAACAAGTGAGCAAATTAACTTGATGAATCGCTAGAATCATCGTCATCGTCATCATCATCATCATCATCGTCATCATCATCGTCATCATCGTCATCATCTTCATCTTCGTCATCACTATCATTTCTACCTCTTCCTCCCCGACGACCTCGGCAAGCTTCACGTTCTAATTTACGACAAATGAAATTTTACTTTATGAAGAACAACTTTAGTGAATTTTCTTACTTTCAATCATTCCATGATTCGAGACAAGATCCATTGATTCATCTCCAACGAGATGTTTTGCAGATGCTTCCATTGCAATGAAGACAACTGCGATCAAAAGAACAAAGAAAATAGCTTTCATCTTGAACTTGTTTCTGTTTTAGATTCGAAAAACTTAGTGACTACTGTTGATCAAATCTGCTTTATATATACTAGTTTCAAGAGACAATTTTAAATTAAATTGATTAAATTGGAAAGCGACAATTTATTTTTTATAAAAATAATGATTAGATTCAATAGTTTTCAAATAGAAATCTCCAAAAAAATGACAATCAAGTTTTTTTAAACAAATATCCTACGCAGAATTTTTAAATTTCTTTTCAATCAATTAATTAAGTTGGGGATTTTTAGGCGTAAATGATTATTTAATAACAAAATTAATGTATGTCTAATAAGAAATCCGCACAAATTTCATTCTTCTTGTTGAAAAATTTTAATCTACGTAGAATATTTGTTTTAAAAAATTTAATTGTCCCTTTTTGTGGGTTTCTGTTTGAAAATTATTGACGCAGATTTAAGAAATTTTAAATAGATATTACCTTATGATCTAAAAAAATTAATATTATGACTTATTAACAGCCCGAGGTTACTTTCTAGAAAGGACCTTGGGTGGATGCAAAACGGTCGGTTGTGACTAGTTAGCACGAAATGATTTTCCTGAGATTGAGTAGTGTTGTTATTGTCATGTGCCACTTATGACCATTGCCCAAAAATGCTTTGATATTTGATGGTGGTTCCTATATGGGCCTGTCCTTGACTGATGATTATGATTTATTAACAAATGCTTAGAATGACATAATTAAGTGATCATCTTAAAATTTATTTCTATTTAACGACTCGCACTGTTCATAATTTGCAAATTTTCAATCTTTATTTTCATATTAGAATTATGAATTGCTTAAAAAATTAATGTAAAATGTCCAACAGGAAATTTTACGATCAAGACTCATGTATCTAGCAAAAGTCGCTTGTTTCACTTATTTAAAAAAAAAACAATTATCAAGTTGTAAAATAATTTGTGATGACGTTTTTTAAATTAATTCCATCCTCAAAATAAAATTTATTTCGTTAAAATACAAATAAAAAATATTTACTTACTGTTTATAAATAGTCAATTAATCTTTATTGTCAATATGAAATTTAGTTTTTAATATCACATCATTAGATATTTATTTCGATAGAATATAAATTAGTGCACACAATAATTTGAATGAAATAAATAAGATTTGAAAAAATCATGATATGTCTAGCCGCAGAAGTTAATGTCATCGTCACTGCCGTCACTGTCATCATCGTCACTATCATCATCGTCACTGTCATCATCGTCGTCGTCACTATCGTCATCGCTATCGTTACCATCGCCAAGATCGTCGCCACTCTCATCATCATCATCATCATCATCACTACTACTACAACTACAACTACTGCTACTACTACTGCTATGGCAAGCTTCACGTTCTAATTCATAAAAAATTAACATAATTTAATATTTTGAATATAAGTAATTGACGTTAAATCTGTTTTACTCTTTATTAAGCTTTCATGTCCTGAAGCCAAAATTGAGTATTCTGAATTTTCCATCAAACTTCCATGTGCTTGTGTCAGTTCAATTACGTCATTCTCGTCTAAAGCTCTTGCTGTTGTTTCAATAACAACATAAATGCACACAATTAATGAAATAGCGCAAATGGTTTTCATTTTTAAATTACTTGAGGCTTATTGTTTACAATGTTAGATTATAAAACTGAATGATTTGATAATGAAATATCAATAATATTTATACTAAATCAGGTTGATTCAAATGAAAAACGGAAACCCCCCTTTACTTTTTAACAAAAATAAAACAATTTTATTTAATTTAGAACTTTACCGCAATTTTTACAATCGTGGGGAATTGGGGAAACCCGGAAAGTAAGTCAACGTTTTTACTTGATTCGGTTCCAATTCAGCACTAGATAATTTGAATTCAATTTGAAAAAGTGACATTCAATGGAAAGCTCATGGACAAACGGATTTTTTTTACATAATCTTCATTACGCTACGAATATTAAATGTGTGTATATAAAACTAGAAGACCTAATTATAGAAAACTTGACGTGCACGTCGGAAGTTTTGTGAAGATTACAGGAAAACGAAAAGTTTTAATTTAAAAGCAAAATTTTTTGTTCGATGTTTGAAAAAGCAGTAAAGAAATAAATTGCATTCAAAACGAAAAATAAATATTCTGGTAATCTGTTTCTAAACCATTCCTATCCAATTTATTGCATCGTATGGAATAAGCAAGATCGAAAACTTAACAATTATTTCATATCAAAATTTGAATCTTCAAGCTTTCAAGCCTTTCATCAATTGTTTTACGGAATAAAAACTTATTTCAGAAAACTTTTGCGTATTCTATGAGATATTTTAATAAAATGTGATTCCATCGACTTCAAAGACTTTTTTATGTCTTCGGAAGACAAATAGAAAAATATTTTGTCAGGGAAATGTTACAAAAATCCATTCTTACTAATAAAGAAAATCTTAAACAAAAAATAAAGAAATAAAATTCTTTTTGATGCTCAAATATATTTTATTTCATATTCAATGTATCATTAGATTGAAAATAACTGCATAATAAATTAATGCAATAAAAATTAAAAGAACTTATTTTCAGTTTCAATTAAAATCATGCAAATATTTATTTTCTGATTTCAGATATTAGTGCAATAATAAGTAATATTCGATTGATTTGTCCATGTCGATTAGGCGAGTGGTCCAGGCAAGATTTAGAAATTTATTTCCTTCTTCTGTCATCTTCATCACTTTCACCTTGACTATCGCAAGCTTCTCGTTCTGGAATAAAAATAATCTATAAGTAATTTGTTTGATTTACATAAAATTTAAATAGAAATTACTTTGAACTCCTTGGTTAGCTGTCATTGCAGCTCCAGGTCCACTCAATACCAAATCTTCCAATTTGGAATCAGGACTTGCCTCAGATTCGATAACGAAGAAGACACAAGCGATCAAAAGAACTGCAATAGCTATTTTCATGTTGAATGTTTTAGTTAGAACTTTTTAGCAAAGAATGAAGCAACATACCAAAAGTGTCGCTATTTATACTTATGATTGAGCGACTCTCAGCAAATTCAGCTGATATAAAAAGTTGTCTCGGAAACAGTTAATTCTTCTGAGCATAAAAAAAAATAAATAATTTGGTTAAAGACCTTTTGAGAAAAAGAATCACTTCACAAATTATTCGTTTTTATTTATTTTGTACGATTGAAAATGAGTAACACGATAATCGTTGTGCAAGTAATGGCTGTTGGG